AAATATTTTCATCAACAACATTTGGAAAACCAGTCGTGCACAAACTGAAAAAGTAAAGACAGACGGAACCAGTTGATCTGGATGAATACCATGAGTAAATAAACCAGAAATCAATAACTAAAGTAAAATGTTTTTGATAAAGTTCATTTTGCACACAATACAATGATAATCCAGCTGGAGTTTTACCGCTAAACGCATAGGGCTCATTCAGAAAATAAGTCCTACAGTGAGCTTGGATACGCTGATAATATAATACGTGGTATTCTTCAGTTAAAAAAGCCGGTACAGTTGAGTTCGATAAACTAATTGCCATATCCACGTCGTTGTCCAGAATCTATAACCTAGAAGCCTTGAATCGATTGGGGGTGGTTCAGTAAACAAGTTGGAACGCACCCTTCGGGTTTTCCAGTAAATGTTCTAGCCGAGAGCAGCAGATGGCGTCCACCCAGCCCGGAGTTAAACACCTGGAATGATATGCCTTTACTATCTTGAGACAGAGGTGCAACCGGGTAAACAACATGAGATGCGCCGCGGTAGTATTTACGTGAGGAAACAAGTATGGACGAGATGAGCTCAGGCAGTTGGTGTTCCAACTGCATACCGACTATCGGGAGTGGAGAACAGACGTTTTACTTTTGTCGGTCTGCATTTACGAAATGGTCCAGAGGAGGTTCTCTCCAAATTGGGCCGACTGCAGATTCCTCCGCAATCTGCTAGTAACTCAAGTGAACATCCTCAGTCCTGTTTTGCACGAATATATTTATTCGTGTTCGGACGCATATCAGGAACAGGGTAGAAACCGATCGTTTTTTTGTGGTGTATTCGGTGGGGCCGTGTGGTCTCAGTCGCAACCGATACTGTACAGCTAATCGGATCATGAAGGGATGCAAGACATCACATTACATCAGGATAGCTAGAGTCACATACGGATAAGGTTGCGAGGTCAGGAAAAGAGAACACAATTGGATATGAAAGGCGGATTCATCACAGGTATGACAGGAATCGAAACACCGACGCAGGAAAGTGCATGGCAATTGACAGTCAAAAACGATGACGGTCGAACGCGGATAAGTCTATCGGAGTTGTTCAACTCACCTCATTGTCTTTGTACCATGTTAATGTTTCCGTATTCAGAACGAACCAGAATTCTTTGCTCCCGCCACGAAGAATGGTAACGTTCTGCAGTGACAACCATCCTTTACGAATGACCTAATCGATGAACCCGTGAAAACATGATTTAATATCACGATAGGAACAGACAATTTATTAGATACTGTTGACAGTGAAAAACCGAGAACCTGATGGTGTTAATCAGAAAGTAAACGGTGCGAAAATTTGTAGTTCATTATTTCCACTGCATGCAATAATGAAAAAATTCCAATAAACTCACTTTGTCTCCCGGTTTGATTTTTGTGGTTTCTGAAGACTGTTGTTCAGCGCTGCAATGCGATAACAGAAAGTCGATTGTGGATGAGTGAAATTATTGCTAATGTCCTGTGCTAATCAGCAAACGGTTAGCGCACACAAACAGAAATATCAAATTCGTTCGCGTTTAAGCGTGTTAACGTGAACATCACGCTGTGGGACTCCCATTGATAGCATCAAAAATACTTGACCTGAAGTGTGCTGGATCAATCAAGCCCGCATTCTCCGGTCGCATAAACACCGCTAATTGATTGAGATCGTGATGAAACCCACAATGAACAGCTCGACTGATCAACTATCGATAGCGATCGAATGGAATTCCAGTGTCTCTGGCAAAACCACGAGGAAGGCTGATAGGGAAACATTTTCTCTAATCAAAAGCGCAAATATTAAAATGACTTTATAGATAGCGCTGAAAATCAAGTGAACAATTTCGTATACAGCTTCGGTTAGCACATCGCTGTAAAGAGAAGCACTCAATATTCATTTAAAGGTAGGACTAATAAATTATCGATTTTCATAGCTCCATCGAATTCTCCCTTCAAACACCGAATAATTCACTCAAAAAAACCCCAACGGGAGGGACAACATAGCTTGAGAAGGTGAACAAAATAATACCAACCAATGGAGGACACTTCGTGTCTAACCATGTGCGAAGTAAACAGAGGAAGATGAAAGGTTACAATCTGCAACGTCTAGTGTAAATCGAAGAATAACGTCATTTCAATGTTGTTATTCAATCCGCAATCATTCCAAAAATAGTGCTTTAAAATCTGAGTATTAGCAGGCACGTATGTTAGTTCGCCTAACATTATCCTGAAACGATGCTTTGCGACAACTGGGAAAACAAAACGTGCAATGAAACGGTTACCATGGGGGGTGGTATCCGGCAGTTCAGACAAGCGTTTATAAACAGCTGGATTTTACGCGAAATTTAGGACAAATGAACAAAATGAATTGAACGGAATGAGTTGGAGGAACTGATGAGACTGTGTTGCGAGCGAAATGGTATTCATAATGATGATGAGACAAGTCGTATATCACTTGTCCAGATATAGTTCAAACGATAATCGCATGGAAAATACATGTCTGTTCGATCAGATGTGAATGTCAATTTGATTCCGACTAGAGCTAACCCACAAATAACAAAGCTCCGGTTGCAAACGGATATTGTTTGTAGTATACCAGAGGAAAATCACAATGTTCGGCAGAATTGGAATCGAGGGGGCGTGGATCAATAATTCCCACCGGGTGAATGATATATCGATGAGGCGACGGAAGCCATGGCGTGTGGTGTTTCCAAACTTACACTGACTATAAGCACTCTAATCAACAATCCTGAAATGACCTACTCGATCTATTCCACCTGCCAAAATTTTCATATCTTTTCGTCAGGTCATGAGCTAGCCACTGCCGTCCCAACTCGTTATTCCGCACCACCGCGGATACACTACCCCACATGCGGAAAACGTCCCCAGATTACGATTATGAGGTCAAATGACTGTGTCAGTAACAGACCTGCATTAACTGGTATTATACACGCGCAAAGTTGTCAAGATATCGATAATCAAGGGTCAGCAACAATATTATACTTCCCAAGCGGAAACATGAGAGATAATTGAACCGCCACAACAGACGCTTAATCTTTGACAAATAAGTTAGGTCACGCATGCTCTGGATCAGCAAACACAAATGATGGATTTGTAATAGCGAGGAAATGTTTTCCGAAGATTAACTCATCAGAAGAACTTATTCAATTGATAAAATGGATGTTCGGTAGCACCACATTTGAAATAGGACCGTCTTATATCAGTAGCAGTGATTCATATTTAAAAGCCTTCAAAAAACCAATACTCTATCAATAAACTAGTTCTGAAATCTTATAACTTGGTTCAACATTTGTCCATCATAAAATGCTTTTAATAAACCTGGTTATGTGAACCATCGTCTGATGGCAGTGCAAATCCCCAAGGATTACCACTGGTCATGGTGAACTCCCATGGAAACATACACCGGGCGTCAAGTGTTAGTACCCAGTGAACCATTTTAGCACTTTGCTCAACTTGACGTCAAAGACAAATGAATAAAACTGAGCAAAAGCATTTTTTAACAAACAAAATAGTGCGAATATACAGATGGCTGGGAATGAATCTGGCTAACCTTACACGGAGGGTAGGTATTCACTTGTAATAGTACAATCGCAGTTGTACTTCAGGGGTTCACCATGCACCAAGATTAGCCGATCTATTCCATAACATTTCGCTCGATATTACCACTGGCGTTTCTGGAACCACCTATGTTAGGCTCTATCTCTTTCTCATTCATATCTGAACCCGAGAAAGAAGAGGATGAATGCCAAATGTAACTTACATCATCCACCATTGATCGCGAAGCAACAAGCTTACATACATAGGTTTAACATCCGGTGTGAAACAAGCAAATTTTTAACACTACATGGCGGAACGAAAAACAAACATTGAGTCTGCGATAGGGTATACAACTAAGTAACCGAATCTGTTGTTTGTGACTCGGCTTCGTATTTTGCCACCGAAGCGGAATAAATGATTGTTGATCTCATCAATAATCAATATGTAATGAGTTAACCGGTCTAAAGTCGCTAGAACAAGCGGATTGGGGGCTGTGGTCGTTATTTGGCTCCATGCGGGGGTACATCATAGCAGTGTGGAGATTATTTATATGGCGAGGACAGAAACCAGTGTTAATCTCAAAGGTTGTTGTGGCTACACCTTGTGAAACGAACACAAAATGTAATTCACACTGATATGTTACTTCCCCGAATCTGTTTTTATTTTCGTTATTGTCAAATAAAACCCATAAACGTTCAACCTGATTACAAATATAGAAGTGGTCAAAGAGAGGTGCAACAAAAGCGACCTGAACCACTATTATACCATACACCGGACGTGGTAACAAGGAGTAGCTGTCCTGATTTGGAGGATAGATCTACATACAAATAGAGGTATGCCACAATATCCTACATCAAGTGGTCAATGCACTTATTTCGTTCGGATATCAAGTGGCTAATCATCTAATCAATTCTACTCTGAGTGGATATTACATAGAGAGAACATAGCGCTAGTCAATGGGAACAGAGAAGTTCAAACACCTGGCTGGGTTGAAGAGACTGTCCTCAACCCGACCTCATGCTTTCTGACCCCATTTGATAGTCAGAGTTACAAAATGGCCAAGGCAGCGCAACTAAGCACTCAGGAACACTGTAAGTAATCAATAGATAGCTCATGGCAAGCAAAAAGACGACTAAACAGTCGAGACGAGACAAACCGGGTCGAATTTTTCGTATTTGGGAAACATTCAACATTCGCATCTCACACTGTTACCAGTGCTGTATGATGAAGATGAATGATTCCGTAACCACAAGAAGTATGACTTGAAAGTGAATAAAGCAGACAACCACTAGTCTCACTTTTCACAGATAGTGATGATAGTGATACGGAGCGTACAGAAACCAAAAACTGGCAAGAATTCGTAAATTCGGTTATTTTGATTATTTGCCGAGGCCCTAGCCATTCACACTCTCAAACCTGATCTATGCAAACAACGCGAATGGTTAGTCACATTGGCTTTGCCTTGGTGATTGACCCCCTGCCCTATCTCATTCCCCCTTTTTGTGTTTTTGCGTTGCGTTGTCCGTTGTGATTAGCGATCTTGTGTTTTTTCTCTCAAATCTGTTATCTCACTGACTATAAAAATTATTTGGACTGCAGTATGCACGTGCACAGATGCAGCGAAATGACCATGGATACATTGTGCAAACCCATGTTTCTGACTTTTCTGTTCAAATTTGTGACGGAAAAACGGTGTTTTAAAATATATTTTGATTACAACAAACGTGTATTAGTAGTAGACAATTTGAAGGAGGGTCAAGTATCATCACATAGACAGCCACAGCCAACTGGGGATGATGAATACACAATCTGATTTAACAGTGCATGTGGATCCTAGTAGGACAGGGCAAAACTGGTTCGACAAAGCCTATGTGTTTTCTCGTCTAGATCTTGAAGGATTTTACTGACGTGATAAACGGCACGTAGCGCGGAACGAAAATGTTCAGCAATGTGTTCCAATATCAAGACTATCTTGAAACAGTATTTCCAGAAGATGAATTAACCGGTTTTCACTTAGTTTGTCTCACAAATTCCTAGAGCAAGCCGAAATGAGGTGATTTGAGCGCAAATTGTGCAAATACGCTATAAAGTTTCCTGGTTCTTTACAAGACACTTTCTGAGTTGTTTTATGTGCCGTATGAAGCACTCCTCACTTCTATTACCATTGAATCGAATTGTGAAGAACTTTCGGGATGCGGAGGGGGGGAGGAGAGCAATGATGATTTCCAGCGTATTTCTTAAACGATCTGGTAGTACAATCATTTTCATCAAATATGCAACGCATATTGATCGGCTATGAACGAATACCGTGGGCTTATGCAAAGCATGAACGAAAGTGAATCTGCTGGTCAACTAGGAATGCATTCGTGGAAAAAATCATGTAACATGGACGTGAACACGGACACTCACAGGTTACAGTTAAATCGGATTCAGAAAATGGACATGAATACGGGTAAATGACATATGCTAGTTGCTCCGAGTTCCAGTTAAAAAAACGCGATCGCAACAATAAATTTATACGGTGAGTTACATGAGTTATAAAACCTAGAAAGGTGTTGTTCAGTTTACACTACCCGACAAAAATGATTACGGACTTGGACCAAATACTCACTCAACCCAGAAATAATACCTGAATTCCGAGAAATAGCAAATGGAGGCAGATCAAAACACTATCGATACGACCGTTATCAGTGCAAAAACCATCAGTTAATCGATCGGAAAGAGGAGAGCGCATTTCATTTGTAACATGATGATTGGTGCACATTTCCAACAAACAGACTATCGATATTGCCCATAATGTGGCAAATGCCACGACGCTATTATTGCACAATGGGTAGTTCGAATGCAACAATCGCACGAGGATAGCTCATCTCTGACTACGATGAACTAGGCGGCTGAGTAGTAAAGCAACTCCGAACGATACTTTGGATAACGTTGCATATGTCCTGGGGTTGAAATAAACCCCTTGGATAACATCCATGGAGTCGTATTATCTTGCAGTGGGAGATAGTTCCCTAAAAGATGACACACCCAGTTAACAGAATAAATTAAACATAGCTAAATAGTCTAGAATCTAACACAGAGTAACCGTGGGCTAAATTCACTTAAGGGTGCGATTAGAACTTCTGGCAAAGAACCGAATGCGCGTGAGTGAAGCGATGGTGGATGCACGCTTTACTGCACCGTGAACATGTCGAAATAAANGCTAACAATTGATAGAACAAAACGTCATGAATCGGTAATCCAGTAAAGCCGGTCAGTTCGTGAAATGAGAGTTGGTGCTTCGCATGTCAAGTCCCTAGCTCGGAATCCCGCCACCAACCGAACCTTGTTTATTTAAAACACACGTCAGACTCGTCCGGAAAATCGTCACTGGCATCCATGTATACACATAAACTAGTTGTTGTTCGTGAATGCTGATTCATCACACAGTGAAATGCGCTGCGTGAAGCACCAGATGGTGTTAAAACTAGTTGGGATCGATGAAAAACCAGGCCGAAATAGACGCGATGACGGGAACAGCAAAATCAAATGAGAGTTACATGTGTCTGGTGACAAAAACGAAAGAAGAGATTAGAAACTACATGGGTAATGAGATGAACGGGGGGAAAACAGTGATTTCAGTTATGCCTATGCCAAACGAGACAGGCATCGATCAGTGAAGGTTATCGATTGCGAACGTATACTGTTTGCCATCTTTCAGAAGATAAATGGAGCAAGGAAATGTATTGCTGCCAATGTGTAGGACGTGAATCGTTGTCGAAAACAGGATGACAAGAACAACAGGAATACCTTTTGAACTTCGTTATCTTAGGAATCAGGTACCATATCATTAGCATTTTCGTGGTTATCAGAAAGTTGGAATAGAATGCCACTAAAAACTGACATATTGTTCTTTTAGCTCTGCTCATGCAACAGCCAGGTGGAACTCTTCCGACGGATTAGTGATAAAGCGTTCAGAAACATTTATCTAGAAATTGGATTCCGAACCAAACGTCCGAATGGGCATTGGTACCGACAGAAACACACATTTTGTTGGAATAGACATTTGGGAATGAGTTTACCACTGCAAACAGCTACGCACCATGTGTAAGTAACTACCAATGCGGAGTTACATCGAGCAACATAAAGTAATCGGTAGATAAGCTTTTAAGTGGTGCAAGGAATATGGGATTTTCGGTGGTGGCGGCGGCGGCGGCGGGGAGGGAAATGCATGGTGAGAAGCGAGTGAAAATACCGATATTTCTGGCACGCATTAGCTAGACCCGTGATAGGAATGGAGCAAAAATTGAATGGATGATTTTAGGATAATTCAATAGGTCAAACGTCACCATTCCGACAGACCGGATGGTAATAACGTACAGAGGAGAGTGAAGAGAAACAGAAATCGACGAGGATGAATAAGGTATGCATCTGGCGTTTGTTAACTGAATAAACTGATGGAAAAAGGAAACAAAAAATAAGTGCGTGTAGGCTTCGAGAGAATAGATTATACTAAGTAGTTTTCAAAAACCTCTGAAAATTCTGTCCTAACGAAATATGTGCCATAGATAATGAAACGAAAACCCTGTGGTTTTCACTTGAACGCGTAAGACTTTGAGCGTCCATCACTTTGGTCTTCCGGTGAGACACAGTAAATTGGAAGCTTTCCCATGGCAGTTGAAAAACTACCCCGTGTCAAAAGAGAAAACCTTGGAACGTCAAACACGAAACTGAGATGATCGGTTCCAATTGTTGCATGAGACACCTATACATGTCGAAACAATGAGGCAGCTGACAAAGCGGGTATTCAGTCTAACTTGCGAACCAATATCATTTAGTTTTGTCTGTGCAATACAACAGTTGAAACCGCACAATAGCGCCTCGGTAATAATTCTGACGAATACCTATTCCGTATGTCAATATACGTCCCCAACCGACTGCAAACAGAGGTATTATTGTGCCATTTGAGCAATTCTATTCCACGCGAAAGGTCAGTCCAGTACAGCTTGCACGTGACATTGCATGGCGCCGGTCGATCGCGCGCTTCCAGTTTGTTGTGTTGTCGGTGTTTCCTTTGACTCCTAACATTTCGAGTCAATCGTTGTGCTGTGTTTCTAAAGGACACCGCGTAAAGCAGTATTAAGTTCCTGGCAAATATGCACAGATTATATCTACGCTATACACCACACTGACTCTGGGAAATTACCAGACCAGCAGATGTCTGACGGTAATTCAAAGGCTTTAACGCTGGTACAATTTAATACCCTCCTCCGGTAGCTCGTTTCACAATGAGAATGCCTTGTGGTGGAAGAAGCTGTGACTTAGAAGATTTGCAGTTGAAGGCCGCACTCCCCCCCCCTCCCTCACTGTCGTACCATTTAAAGGCTAACATATGTTCGAAGCTGAAATTTGATAATCCCTTGGCTAACTTCGATCAAGTTCCCTTAGATTCGTCTTTGTTTCAGAAGGAAAAAGTGGATTGAAGTTCTCGGTCTCAGTCATGTTACCCTACTGGTTGCCTAACACAGCACTTTCCCCATGAAGTCAATACCTTTTCCAAAATAGGTAAATCGCACCAGTTGACAAACCAGATTGAAATCGTTCTTTGATTAGCCAGTATGCCTCAAAACATATTCTTAAAGAGAAAAGAAAGCATTCCGGCAAAGCTGGGAGGAGAGAATGGAGGACTATTTGGTATTACACTATTCGGCAATGCAGATTGTACTCAATCGGGAAATACCGGCAGCGGTTAATGCCTACCGAGACTTATTCGAGATGTCCATCCTATTGAATCACATGCACTCCCGAGTGCAAAATGGGGTTGA